TTCCCACATTCCTTACATTCATGAGGTTTCTCTCCAGTATGAGTTCTTTTATGTATCTGAAAGGCTTTGGAAGTACTTAGACTTTTACCACACTGTTCACATTGATAGAGTTTCTCTCCGGTGTGAGTTCTTTCATGTATTTGAAAAGAACTAGAACAATAAAAGTCTTTGCCACATATCTTACATTTATAAGGTCTCTTTCCACTGTGCCTCTCAATGTGTCTTTGAAAGTTTAATAGAGAAATACAGAATTTTCCTTACACTGATAGGATTTCTCTTTGATGAAAGTTCTTTTAGATTTTTTTATAGCAAAAACTGAAGGCATTTCCACATTGCTTATCTTGATTTGTCTTATTTCTATCCTTGTATTCACTTGGTTTGTGTTCAGTGTGAGTTTTCATGTGCCTACTTAGGAATGAATGACCAATGAAGACTTCTCCACACACATGGCAGTCATAGGATTTTACAGCAGGAGTTTTCTTGCTGAGCCTGATATCTGGAATCTGTCTGAAAGTTTCTCAACATTGACCATCTTCTACCCTTGCCCAGAGTATCACTACCATATGACTTCTTAGGTTTTCGTCAGGACTTTGGTAAACTTCTTCAATATTCAGGTCTTCCAATTTTATTCCTACAGAGGCCAGATTACTGACAGTTTCCTCCATCACATCTCTGTACAGATTCTTCTGGAAAGGATCCAGCAAAGCCCAATCCTCTTGAGTGAAGTGCACGGCCACATCCTTAAAGGTCACCAAATCCATTGCGTAGCTTTCGAGGCCTCTGGGGTCCTCCCTTTGCAAATACTGTACACATGTACTTTTATATTTGGTTTGGTATTTTTGAGGTAGGGTTGATATGTAGTCTAGGCTGGCTTGAACTCACTTATGCAAAGCAGTCAGGCTCAGGATACTTTGGTTTGATCCCCAGACCTGCCATGCCTTACCAGACCTGCCCTTAAGGCATCCTGAGCCAGCCAAAAAGAAAAAAAAATGAATGAGGTCAATCTGGGCTTCAGTCTGGACTAAGAAATTGTATCTCTTTTTTGTGGTGCTGGCAATTGAACTCACGTTCCATACTTGTTAGACCAACACTCTGTCTTTAAGCTAAATTATTCTTTATTTTAAGAATCAGCTTATTCCTTATTTAAATGTGAGATGAGGAGATGGGACCTCATTATATTGCCCAGGCTTACCTCAAACTCCTGGGCTCAAGTGAAGCTCCCATGTCAGCCTCCTGAAGAGCTGAGACTACAGGTATGTGCCACTATGCTGAGTCTTTTTTTTTTTTTCCACAATTTTATTGAGAAACAAATAGCAATGAGACAGTTTCAAATCAAATTGGTAGGACAGTTTCAATCATTAACATATTGCATACTCTCTTCCTACTGGTTATTTGCTGTACAAGATGCAGACATGATATCCTATTTACAAACACTATTAGAACAAATCCCTCTATTCATTAAGAAAATGTAACTATATATCTATCCCAACCACTTTGAATACACAGATACAAAATGGATATTCATCTGTATCCCCTTTTTTGTTTAGTTCCGTCATTTGAGTATTATAGGTGTGTAAACTCAGCAAAATATTCCAAACGAGTCCAGTAGTCCATAATAGTATTGGGTCTTCCACTTGACTGGCAGT